ATGTTATAAGGTGTAACTTAGGCAACTTTTATTTTTTTTTAATAAAAAGAACGTTACATTATTTTTAATCAGATCATAAATAAGTGAATAACTAGTTATAAAATATAATAATAAAAAAATAATTACGAGTTTATTTACGATTATGTGTTTTTAATGTTTTAAAATGATCACATCAACTGACTATGTTGAGACACATCATCATCTGCTTCTTCCTTATCCCATTTATTTGTGGTCGGCGTAATAAGTTTTTCTCTTCCATTCATCCCTGTTCGCAGTCATCGCGTTATTTACTTCCTTTCTTACCATATCATCTTTCACACAGTCCATCCATCTCTTTTTCGGTCTTCCTCTGCCCTTAACCATTCACATTCATTTTTACCATCTTCGTTAAGATATGATCTAAGATACTTTATTGAGTAACTTCGTTATTTTTATATATTTCTTAGTATTTTGTTTATTATATATATAAAAATCATTTTACGCGGTTTAGCATAAAAAAACGAATTTACTGAAAATTCGAGTTAGCTTAGTATAAATTGCTGGTGTCGATATGTACCAAGAAAAATAAATTTTGTCAATGTCAGTAAGTTAGATAGTCATAAGTAAAAACTACTAAATTAATTTAACTGTAATCAGTTCTCGAAATACAAAGCTACTTTTAACATCTCTATACTTTTTATACCTTTTATAGCGGAATCCCTATACCTCCCTATATCCCTTTACAATATCAGATTACAGAACATTGTATTTTTTATTTTGTATTTTTGTTCAAAGCTCCCCACGTACTACGTGAGAATTTGTAATTTTAAAAATTGAATATCTTTTCATATTCGCTCTTTACAATATGGTTTTTGTCTGTGGGTTTATATTATGATATAAAAAACTCCGATCAATCCGATGTAGTTTTTTTATTTACATTTCTCTACTAAGTAGGTGCATGTTATTCAGAAATTGGAGTAGATTACTTTAAGACGTTTCGTATATCGTATATCCATCGACAATAAAAAATTGTCCCAGCTATTTATACAAAGGACGGATTCTATTAAGGGACATATCAACATATAGTGACTTACTTTTTATAGTCAATATTGTATACTGTGTGCGCTGTAGTATGGTGAGGGTGACAGTTACCAATTTTACATTTAACAATTGTTACATTTAAGTTAATACAGTTATTAATAAATTTAATATATTACGAATGTGGTACAGCTGAAATACTAAGTTAGATAGATAGATAGATAGATATATCGTTTATTTGTTTGTTACTAGTCACACACATAACATGTTCATAAGAATATAAAAATACATAATACAACATAAGATTTATAAAATTGTGTTTTATGTGTGATCTGTAGCAATACAAAAAGGTCGAAGCTCAGCGTGGAACATTGTTCAGGGAACAAAACACTGATTTTCAGCTTCAACCCATTTGAGGGTACGTGAAAATAATAATTAAAATAAATAAAAAATAAAAAGGAGCAATATTATTAGTGATTGTCTGTGTGGTGTGTTTATAATAAAAATAATGTAAATAGTTCAGAGTATAATTTCATATAATTTTAACTGAGTGGTAAGGATCAACAAAAAGAAAAAAAAAAAAAAAGAAAATATTAATAAGAGTAACATAGAGAAATAAAAAACAATTTTTTTTTTTTTTTTTTTTTTTTTTTTTTTTTTTTTTTTTTTTAAGAACCTTTACCGGAGATTACAACCGCTAGCCAAGAAATTTCTGTGGAATGCCTAAAATTTGTTTTTCTAATAAGTATTCTTTGTGATGTTTTTTAAAACTGTGTACGGTAGTCAGATGCCTAAATGGTGGCGGGATGTTGTTCCAACATTTTGTTGCTTGGTAGCGGAAGCTGCCAGTAAATGCCATAGTTCTGTGTACTTGAAATGATAATTTCGAACAAATGAATCTGCATCCATACATACGAGAAGAGAAATTTAGTTTTTTAAAGAGATAAACTGGCTGTTCACTTTTTATTACATCGAACAATAGACTAGCCAGGTGTAACTGTCTTCGCGATTCCATATTTAAAATTGAAGCATTGTTTAAATACGGACTAATATGGCTTCGGGGGGGAATATTAAAGCAAAAACGACAACATGCATTTTGCACTCTTTGAGTCAGGCGTTGAGTTCTAGCCAATAGTCGTGGTCCATACACAATGTCTCCATAATTAAATTTGGATAGGATTAATGATTCGCATAGTGTAATACGAACTCTTTCCGATAATAAATTACGAATTTTATATAGGACCTTAAGGCGATAAAAACATTGTTGTACTACATTTAAAATATGCTTTTCAAATCGCAACCGACTGTCAAAAATAATCCCCAAGTTTCGCGCTTCTTCAACTCGTTCTATACTCTGGTCCAGGATATTTACTGTAATATTTTTATTTATTATGTCAGTAATTTGTTTTTTTGATCCAAGAATCATATACTTTGTTTTGTTAGGATTAATAACCAATGCATTTTCTTGTGACCAGGCAGCAATTTTCTCCAAGTCCCTATTAAGTTTATGAGCAGCGTCAGTAATCGCAGCGGGTGTTGCAGAGATATAAATTTGTATGTCATCAGCGTAACAATGAAAATTACAATAGTTTATTGCATTTTCAATGTCAGCACAATAAATAATGAAAAGAAGTGGCCCAAGTATCGAACCCTGAGGTACTCCACGGTCTACCAGCTTGGGCTCCGACACTGAGTAGGAACCATCCAGCTTTTGTATTTTTACCGATTGGTATCGGTTGCTAAGGTAACTATGAAACCATCCCACAGAGTGCCGATCCAAACCATAATATGTCAGCTTAGAAAGCAAAAGAGGTACATTTAAACAATCAAAAGCGCGAGAGTAGTCGAGTAAAGTCAAAATAGTACCATTACCAACATCTTGTGAAGCAAGAATATTATCTACAACATCCAGTAAAGCAGTGGTAGTGCTTTTACCTTTACGGAATCCTGACTGATACTTTGGCAGGATGTTGTTTGTTTCAACGTATTTCAGCAACTGAGTATGAACGGCTTTCTCCAAGACTTTAGACAGAAAGGATAGTATACTTATAGGTCTGAGATCATTAAACTCGGCAGGATTATTAATTTTGGATAAAGGAGTAACCAATGCATGTTTCCATTGACTAGGAACTTTTGACGTAACAATAGATTTATTAATTATGTTGGTTATAATTGCTAGTGTACGAGGAAGAGTCAGTAGTATCATGTCTCTACTCACCCGATCACTACCCAATGCATTAGATTTTATTGCCGAGATATACCTAGCGACATCACTCACTGACACCGGCTGCAATTGAAAAGTAGCTGTACCATACCTATGAAACTCAAAGTAAGTGAGTTTTGATAAAGACACATTATTTGGTCCAGGTACATTTAAAAAATGTGCATTAATGTTATCGGGGTTATTGAAGAAGAACGGTAGTATGTCACTTTTAGTGGAGTCCACGGAAATATTTTCCTTTAACCTTTTCCAGAAAATTTTACCATTACTTTGTTGAGAGTTTATATGATAATTATAGTAAGCTCGCTTTTGTGATCAATACTACTGTGAACGAGATTTTTAAGGTCTTTATAATATCTATTATGTACCTCCAATCCTGTCCTCCTATACATTAACAGTGCTTTATTACGCAAGTCAATCATACGTCTGATGGTATCGGTTACCCATGGTAGTGAATGTTTGCCATTAATTTTAATCCTTTTTTCAGGAGCATGTCCATCAAAAAGGAATAGCAACATCGAGTTAAAAGTGTCGACCATCAAGTCGACACAAGGCAGGCTGTTAATATATTCCCAATGTATAGAATTTAAATGTAGATTAAAATATTCCAGGTTGATATCCTTGATGGGTCGAAGTATAAAATATTTAGTTGGCATTTTACACTTTTTTATTGTGAGCTCAAAATTAATCATCGCATGCCCTAAGGAACCTCTAATAAAATTGTTCGAAATACTGCGGACCGGTGCATTAGTACACACCAGGTCAATAAGCGTTTCAGTGTCGGTTGACAAGTGTGTTGGCTCAGTAACTACTTGCGTGAGGCTAGTATAGTGTAGAAACTGTACTATCTTTTGTGCACTTATATTATGCAAATTTAGCATATTAACATTTAAATCTCCCATAAGAACCGTATAGTCATAATTAGAAAAATAAGTCACAGTTTCCGTTATAGCATCCAAAAAATTATCAATGTTCATCCATTGAGGACGATATGCAGTACCGATTAATATATTGTAGCAATTAATACGCGTGGACAACCACATCTGTTCGATACCAGCCGCTGGGTGTTTGAGTATGCGCACACGCATATTACGTTTCACGTAGAAGGCTAGTCCCCCCGCGGCCGGCGCGCATGTTTACCGGTCGCGGTGAGCTATACAGTCTGTAGTCGGCGACGGCGGGCGCACATCCCTCCTCACCCGAGCGAAGCCATGTTTCATTTATTGCAATGAAATCGGCGTTGAAACGATTCACTGCAATTATAAATTCGTCTCGTGCTGTATTGAGTGACCCGGCATTGTATAGACCTAACTTAATGAACTTATTTGAATTGAAGACTTGTATGATTTATAAAAATAAATACCACAAAGGAGTCAACACAAGGTAAGCACGCGTACTTAGTTCTATCATTGTAAATGTTACTAGTATAACGAAGAATAGTAGGCGACGCCGACGTTACCATAGATAGAAGTGAAGTGATTTTAGTGCGTTGTATAGTGTAATCTATGGATATATAATATGACATAAATATTTTCAAGTACCCTTGGATTGCAGCAGATTCGCACAAGATCATATTATTGTGGCAAACAAGATACAAATAAAATGAAATATGATTATTCATCTTTTTAGAAAGATATATGATTGATACAATAAATAGTAATACGTAATACAGATTTAAATAACAATTAATAAATAATTTATACTCGCTGAATAGTTCATACATGAAATAAGTAGTTATATTGATTCTGTATTGTTTCAGATTATGTGAATATATGGATAATACAATAAAAAGTATATACATTATGATAATAATAATTGAATAGATTTTACTTAGTATGCTATACAACACCGGCAGAATGGAACAAATAATATAAAATTCAAAACAATAGTGTAAGCAAAATACTATGGATATACAGATACCGATATTGATATATGAAGTGACCTTCAGTGGACTTATACTTATCTTATTCGTTTTGAATTTGAGTTGAGCCAACTGCGTCAGACCCAAAAACCCTAAGAAGGTCTTGTTCAGTTCGAATGCGCTGAGGAAGAGCACTTGTACCGTGGTTCTGTCTTACAAATATTCTACCACCGCTGGTCCATACGAACCGCCAGTTGAAGCGCCCAGCAAGTTCCCGTGTCCGTCGAAACAGGAAACGATTGACCCTCGTCAACCTTTCGTTAACATAGAAATGCTGTGGTGGCCCGGGCAGACCGGTGTCTGATGTGGTGGCACCCCTCCGTACGCGAGCAGCTTTAAGCAGTTGATCACGAAGAACTCTGCGGCAAAGTCGAATAACGATGAGACGGGGACGAGAATGTTTAGACGATGATGATGAAAACTCCTGCGGCGCCTGTATTGGACCAACCCGCATGACGCTGACCAGATCCTCGTCAACCAACTTGACACCTAACTTGCTTGCAATAGTCATGGCAATGTGAGGCAGACTTTCACCCTTCTGTTCAATAATGCCCGATATCTCGATGTCGTTTAATAAACACTCTTGGTCTCTATCATTGAGTTCTGTCTTTAATTGTTCTATAGACCCTAAAAGCTTTTCTGTGCTTCTGTCCTCACCTCTCTGAGTGCTCTGACGTTCGAGAGATTCGACACGAGCACTAAGATGATCTATACGCTTATCACACTGGTCCATTCTAGATGTAAGTTTATTAAGAGAATCATTAAGAATGCTCATTTGAGATCGCGTGGCTGCCATCTCCTCTCTGAACAAGCGAATTTCATGCAATAATGACAGTTCGCCTGAAATCTCTGACGGCCCATTATCCACCACACTATTCTGACCAACCGATGGTAAGCTCTCCGGCGAGTCATGAGGCGCTTTGCCCGGACTAATAACAGCAGCTCCACGTCGCCGAGTGACATTATCTAGAGCTTCTCGCACGGGCGTGTTTGTGTTATCAGTTCTGCGTAGCTTGCTCATACACAGAACGCACCGCCATGCTGCCTTGTGCTCCGCTGACATGGTGTTGTAGAAGCGCTGCTCCGAAACGTTTGCACAAACAAGGTCGTACTTTTGATGGCATTTGCTGCAGCACAACGAGCGCTTATCGTCGATTTTCTTCAAACAACCCGCACATTTGGCATTTACGGAAGACATATTGTAGGTACTTTAGAGTGGTCACTAAGATATATGAATATTCCAGCAAGAAAAACACCAACACAGCTGAACTACACTTCCCTACGCACCTTTAATATTGGTAGAATTAAAATATATAGTATTACTAGTCAATTACACGATATTAATAATTATAAATATTAAATAACATAGACAACGGTTGGATCCGTGCACTAGTGGTTCTACCCTCTGAAGTCATAATTTGTAAATCGCGGCAAGTTTCAAGAGTGAAACGAAACGTTAATGAAACTGTCACCCGCACCATGCTACGTAACACTTGGTATAAGTATATGTATGTATGTATGTATGTACACACATTGCGCGTGTGGAACTCCGTCATGTTATCTTCACACATTGTTATATTGCTATAAAAATGAAGTGAATACGATGCACCTAGCCTGCAACCACCGGCGACCCCCTCCTCCCCCGCGGCCCCCTCCAAACCCCCGTGGGTGCTGGCGGCGCGGCGCGGCGCCACCTCCCCTATGGCTTTGTACAAAAGTACTTAGCGAGTTCGACGCGACCGACGTGCTCTCACCGCACTGATAATATTACAGGGAAATAATGCTTCATCCCGATAGTAATCCGGTCGTAACCGAGTTTCAACCTTACGTGGACGTAATAAGAACTAATTCGTGTAACGTTTCTCGTAGATGAGCTACAAAACCGCAGGACGTGGGACTGGTCTTCAAAGGAAATTGCTCACTCTTCTTTACATGTGAGGCTCGGCAGTTATTAACAATTTCCTAGCACGATACACACACACACACACACACACACAAGTAACAAGTATTAACAGATAAAGGTTGTGACGTCGCGCAAGAATTTTGCCAGATGACATCGCACCTGGCCCGGCACTGCGAGTACCTTAGAAATATTACCTGTCGTGTAGTTATTAAGAATAGTGTACATGGAGTTATTTATACATGGAGATGATAGATAACGTCTGCTAGTTAGTGATTAAATCAGGTTTATTTTTAATGGTTGACAATAGAATGGTGCACCCGTCTGCGTTGACGGTATACGCGGGGCACCAGTTGTTATACCTCATAACAACTGGTGCCCAGCTCAGTACAAATTTAGAAGCAATTTATCTCGATGGTTTCCAGGGGAATTTACGTGGCGAGGTTGATCTCCACGTGTTTCCCCCTGGAAACTATCGTGATAACTAGATACATTGCTAGCTATCATTGGATCATCAGTTCACATTAATAACAACCCCCTTCGCCCCATTCAATCATATGATGTTGACTGGGCATTTCATGTCGCGCCAGTAAAGCGTTGTGATGTTTTTTAACATCGTAGTCAATGTAATTACTCAGTCAAAGCTGGAGAGATTAAACTACAATAAAGAGACAGCTATGGATTAGTCCAAGCTATTTCAGTAATGATAAGTAATAATTAATTAATATTAAAATATTGCCCACGTAGTAGAATTATGAATTCATTTTGTAAATTATTTGTTTATATCATACATCGGCAGTCAATGCGACATATTAAATATTAAAATTGCATATTAATACTGAATACTTGGCTCATTGAGGCATTACATGTTAAACATCATCGCACTTGCTGTCGTTGTGTCACCCAACAATTGCGGCAATAGTGCTGCAATTCATTAATTCGCCAGATATTTGCTTATGTAGCTATGTTTTGCTTCGATAAAATATAATGTTTTACGTAGTAAATCACGTAAACTTAAGAAATATCCTAACCGACGATACACTGATACTTTAAGGAATAATCAAGTCTATAACCGCAACCTTTTGTACTTTTCAGTTGTTTTCCATTCGTAAAGCTGTCTGTATTGTGGTACAGTGGGTACATATATCTCAATGGTTCTGATATGCAAGTTAATTATTGATTTATTCAACATTTGCTAAACGTGTCACATTTTGTCGCATACGTTAAAATTATTAACTGCTGCTGTATATTTAATTTTCCCGGATTATTATGTGTATTGTCCTCCTATAAACTAGCTGCTCAGCGCAACTTTGTCTGCATCACACTCAGTTAACATGTTTCATTATATTTCGCCCAGTTTGCATATCTTTTGAAATTATAGCCTATATATTATTCTGTTATATAAGCTATATTACGGTAAAGTTTCATTATTTAAATTCAAACATAATTTATTCATGTAGGACATTTTAGTCGCTTACGAATTAAAATTAAATACGTTCAGTAGTTTTTGTGTGAAAGAGTAACAAACACCCATCGTTTCGCGTTTTCGGGTTTATAATATTATAATACAGAATACGTTAGAGCTACGTAGATCTACACTTGGCTGCGTTGAGAGGAGATTGTTCTGCATAAATAATGATGTTAATACCAATTATACTAACATACTATACTCGACTTTCATGTGATAACTCTTGGAGGTCATTGTAGTTCATACTCGGTGAACTTGTCTAGCTACTACTGATTTCCTAACTAACTTTCAATAGAATGAATTGGGTGCCTTTAACACAGGATGGAATGCAAATCATCTATCTATATATATATAAAAATGAATTGCTGTTCGTTAGTCTCGCTAAAACTCGAGAACGACTGAACCGATTTGGCTAATTTTAGTCTTAAAATATTCGTGGAAGTCCAGGGAAGGTTTAAACGATGATCAAATATGAAGGAATTGCATAGAGGATAGTATAAATTTTTTTTTCCCATAATAAATGTCAAATGGGGTGCTATCATAAATTTAATGCGTCACCAAACTTCAAAATTTAATTCTAGTTATCCAAAAAGATCTATTTCAGGACACTAAAGTCTTGCTGCTTGCGTCTGGTAGTCATGGAAGCTAGACTTTAGTGTCCTGAAATAGAAACTAAACACGAAATATAATGTGTCTCTACATTTCGTGATTAATTTTAACGAAAATACCGACTTATTTTTTACTTATAAATAAGCATGAGATCAGGTATCAGACCTATTTCAAGTCGATTTCACGTCTTCGCTTCGCTACTTGGAAAAAAAACAATCTCAAATAACGACTTTCGAGATATCCCTAAACTCCTATCGAATATCACTAGACGAATAAAAAACCACGCGTAATTCTATAGCTATTTGTTTTGCCTTTTGTTTTATAACGAGGGTGTCAGCTGAGCCCACGTCACGTCGTCGCGTCGCGCCCACTGAGGCTGAGCGAGGGCGACCACCTTAATATATATTAGGAAATAAGACGATTTATAATAATAGAAGCAGTAATTGCACATACCACATACATCAATGAGTAATATTAATATTGATTAAGTAATTATCTATTAAAAAACAAATTATTCAAACACGAGTTTCTTGGTTTTTCTTCTTGTAATGAGTGAATCAAATTATATTATTTATTAATTTAATTATTATATAATTACAATTTAAAGATTATAATGATATACTTTGTATTTCTAGGAGGTAATGTCTAGTAAAGTCTACACTTGATAATCTTAAATATATAGTTAAAACTAATTTTGTAATGCCAAACATAAATATGTTATTACTTTATGATACGATGTCATTCTGTGAACTGAATATTTGAGAGTGAGTGAAATGAACTGTCAAGTCACGGTATTCAGAAATTTCAATATAACCATTATATCATATTTTCTGTTACAAATATATTAATCTGCATTCAGTATTTGGCGGTAGAATAATAAAAATAGGCAACTCAAAAATGCTTATAATCTATTTGTTAGAACCTAAACTCAGACATTACTCTCAATAATAATAATAATCTCAGGACAATTCACACAGCGCCATCTAGATCCAAGTCAAGCTAGCTGTAGCTTGTGTTGTATGGGTACTAGACAACTGATACAAATACATAAATTTTTTTTTCGTAAATACATACATAATATGCATAAAAAAATAAATAGAGTTAAATAAACGATTTCTACATGTCATTGTTATATTTAGATAATCAATTCATGAATAAAGTGCGAAATGTCACAGTAAACGCGAGGTGAGAGAGACTAGACAGACGAGGAGGCAGCGACATCCTGCCGGCTCGTGTTTCAATCTCCGCGGACCACGCCGACAGATAAATAGCCCTGATACCGCCGAGGAGGCTCCTCCATTAATTACGGCTGGATTAACGAGCTCTAAAATAGTTGGTAAAAAGTGCTAACTCGTGAGATCGGCGCAAAGATGGCGCGCCCACCTTCGGACGGGGCTCGAACCGACGAGTGTTAAGTGTGCAACCGCGGCGCTGTCTCTTAGCGCCCACGGCCTAACAACGATAAGTAACTTTACATACACGCTCGCCGGCAAACATACACTAACATCGTGATACGAACAATGGACCGTGCAATGCAAATGCTATTCACAAATATTAACATGAACGTGACAATATTGTTGAGGTTCTAAGAAAAAAACCTCGACGGCCATCTAAAAAAGTGCACGCTAAAAGCTCTTGACGTTATTTGATACTTAGTTAAGTAAATGTAGGCACGTCGCGTCGCATGGCGTAGGAAGCGGGCCCTCCAGTGTGACTGTATACTAGTTGTGACCGTATAAACGTGTCAGATGCGGACGTGCTAAATTGAATTCTTGAACATGGCAGCATTTCTAGATTTATGCAAGGATCCCCGGGGGCTGCGGCAGGGTTGCAACATCGATTGGCCCCTATAAATGCTTTAGAAATAGATGCGTTGGATATTTCTACTATATTTTCTGTAATCTATACATATAAATATAACTGGAGTGTCTGTTTGTAATATTGAAATAACTGTTTTTTACTACATGCATATGAATATAAATACGGTACATACACCAAAATAACATTTTTTTTTTTTTATTTTTATTTGTCTGTTTGTTCCGGCTAATCTCTGAAATGGCTGGACCGATTTTGATGGGACTTTTTTTGGCAGATAGCTGATATAATAAAGAGTAACTTAGGCTACTTTTATTATATATATTTTTTTATTTTAGAAAAATAAAGTTAAATTCCACGCGGACGAAGTCGCGGTAACAACTAGTGTCACATAAAAGTGCGATAATAAACTTTCATGTATTACATTAATATTGTTGATATACTTTCGCATTTATAATATTATGTCATCTGTGACATTAGTAAGGATAGTAATATTAGTGATTATTACCATTTTGCTTAATTGTTTGTGTTACATATATGTTTGGTGGATTGCGAACCCTTCGTTCACTACCAGCGGCGCGCTGTACGCGCTGTACGCGCTGTACGCGC